CCAGCACCAGAGGCGCAGCGGCAGTCGCCCAGGGCGGCCAACGTTGGGGGCGTTTATAAACCTGGTGATTGTATTTCTAAAGTTCTACTTTCCACATGGAGTGCATTACCCAGCATGCATCAGTTCTGCTTCTCCGTGTTGGTTCGGTCCAGTCTCTGGTTCTGAACGTCTTGCTGGAGTACCAGCAGCAAGTCAGAGTTCAGAGGTCAGCAAGTCAGAGTTCAGAGGTCAGCTCAGGCATTTCAAACATTCAAAGCATAATAAAAATAAATAAACCTATTTAAAAACAGACAAAGCCCCGATTTATAAACACAGGAAACAGAATTAAAAGTCAGGGAGCCTCCGGCCAGCAGGGGGAGCTCAAGGAAAGCCATTGTTTTGTTCTGGAGGTTTTTATTCTGAACATTTTTAAAATTTCCAAACCATAGAAAAGTTAAAGCAGATTCAATAAAAAACTAGAACAGTGATTTCAGATCCGCTTTCATGTTAGCGGTTAGCTTATCATCGATTATGTGTCTGCAGCTAAGAACAAAATCTATTCTTGAATACTGGAGCTTACAGAGGTCAGAGGTCATATTCTTAGTTTCTGTGATGTTTGCTTTTAAATTCATCTTGACGACACTGAGCAACACAGCAACAGCCTCCATGGCAACAGTATCTATTACTGATCTGTTTTAGTAGAGGACAGAGCACAGCATGTGGAGAACCAGAAGAGATGAAGACATGTGACCTCTGACCTCTCACCCCATGCATTAAAGGGGCAGCAATATGTGCCTGGAAAACACATACTGGCCCTTTAAATAATCCAGGCGTCTGTTTGCCAGGATGATGCTGAGTGACGACTGGACCGTGATGAACAACAGCAGCTCAGAGCTGGACGGCAGGAGGCCCCGCAGGTCAAAGGTCAGTAGGCCGTGTTAATCTGCACTTAATCCATCAGATCAGGGTGTGGCTAATCTGCAGCAGCTGTCAGCGTCGCTGATCTGCTGACGAGCCTCTGAGCAACACCCTGCGGAAAGTATTCACACCCCTGCTGGCTGAAGCTTTGACCCAGTTTCAGATCAAACCGACTTAAAGGGACAGAACGCAAATTCAAAAAAACAGCTACGTCAATATGGGAGGAAATGACCGGACCACAGCGGCACCAGCTGGTTGGCCCAAGCCGACCAGTCCGGCTCCAATCTAGTCCAGTCCGGTGTGGTCCGCTCCAGTCCGGTCCCCTTCAGCTCCAGTCCAGTACGGCTCCGCTCCAGTCCAGACCTTCCAGGATTTAACCCTTTCAGATGCCGCAGGGGTGGGAATACTTTTACAGTCGACTGGACTCTGATGTTCCATGGACCCGAGTCCCGGTTCTGTACACCACGCTGAGTGTGTGTGTGTGTGTGTGTGTATGTGGTGTGTGTGTTCAGAGGTGCTGCACCTTCCTCTTATGGTTGGTTGCCGTGCTGTTCGCCATGGCGGCCATCGTCACGGCAACAGTGACAGTCCTCCATCTCCACCAGCTGCCTCTGCCCATCTTCAGCAGGTAACGCACCTGTCTTCTCTGCTCACCCGTCTGTCTCCGGCTGCATGTTCACCTGTTGTCATGGCAACAGGGGCGGAGCCTCCACGCCAGCCATCTCTGCCGGCTCTTTAGAGTCGGGCGCCCTGGTGACCATCTCCCGCGTGGCGGACGGCGAGCCGGTCAGCGTCTTCCTGGACCCCGCCTGTCCTGACCTGAGCCAGGACTTCCTGCGGCTGGAGGCGCTGCACAGCTCGCTGCTGCACGCGCTGACCAATCACAACGCAGACGACCACAGGAACGGGGGGGCCGTCCAGAAACTGGGGGACGACCTGAAGGCGCTCTCAGGCCACGCCCACAACCTGAGGTTGGCGGCCGATTCCCTGAAGAGGGGCCAAGGTGCTCTGGACCAGCGCATGGACCGCCTGCAGAACGAGCAGAGCCGCATCATCCAGGTAGAGTCGCATCTGGCTGTGACATCATCAGCCAGCCCAGCTTCGGCTAATCAGGCCGGACCAGTGGGTCGTTAACCAATCAGGTCTGTCCACCTGTCCAGGTGCTGTCTGACAGCCACTCCGGCATCCTGAAGCTAGCTGAGAGCTGCAGCGATTCTCTGCTCGGCCTGAAGAGGGAGACGGAGAGTCTGGGGAGGCTGAAGAGCGAGCTTAGCCGCAACATCGCCCAGACAGGTCAGACTCGGGTAACTCGGGCAAGAGCTGCTGTTAATGGGGCTCTGACTGTTTCCATGGCAACCTGTCTCTGCAGCCGTCCAGCCCAGAGACTGCAGCGACGTCCTGGCGTCCGGCGTCTCCGTGGACGGAGTCTATTCTGTGTTCCCAACCCATGACCCTGAGGGTTTCATGGTCTACTGCGACATGAGCACCGACGGCGGAGGCTGGACGGTACAAACACAGTGGTGCCCCCCGCTGGTCACTGGGGGGACAGGTCCACCTGTCTCCACATGGCGGGACGCTGCTGTCTTCTAATGTCCCTGTGCGTCTCGCAGGTGATCCAGAGGAGGGAGGACGGCTCCATGAACTTCTTCAGAGGCTGGGAGGCCTACAGGGACGGTTTCGGGTCGACCACCGGGGAGCACTGGTTGGGTGGGTCCTACTTCACCTGGACCAATCAGAGCACAGAGACGCTCTGACGGACCAATCGGAGCGTCTCTGTCCTCTGATTGGCTGTTAACGAGGATGTTTGTGAGTTGGTGTACAGCGGGTTAGATCTCAGATGTGTGGATTCCGG